ACGTACGACTAATGGAGTTTGAGCGACTGCATAGTATCGGATCTGCTTACCAACGTACCGCTGCTGCCTATTACTTTCCTTACCAGATACCATTCCGGTTCCGAACTGCTCTTTGGATACAGTAGCACAAGCATGTTTAGAGCGCTGTCCCGCCAGTTTGATCACCGTTTGCGTGTCACACTTCTCGTTGAATTTTGGCAACTCCAGGCGTACTAGTAGATCGATTTCGTTACCAATTTAAGGCAGCACCTTGTAAGCACGAAGGCACCTTACGGTGCGAAAAGTTTGGATGCTGGTATTAGCTTCCAGCACTTTATTTCCTAGTGTACGCCCTCGTGGTCATCGTTAATCATGCCTTCCTGTAAGCTTGTTATCAAATGGACCCAAGGAGGAGGTGCATAAGAGAGCGGCCATAATTTATTTTGCGCACGCATTACATTAACGATCACTTTGTCTGAGGTACTGTTGTGTGCTTACAATCGACTTTTATTTTACACTAACCTTATGTATCAACGTATATATTTTGGTAGACGCTTGGCGAATGACTCACATATATGTTGACTTCACTGTATTATTCAAATTACCTTAGCCCTTTGTAAAGCGTTTGCTTATATTCCTAATACATCGTTATTCTTGCTTCAGTACTCTTCTCCTGCTTGTGCTTGGGTGACACCGTTAAAACTGATTACGACGCAATACCAGCGCAGCTAGTCCAATGCTGCACGATAAGTTTGCACCGATAGCTGGCAGTTGCAGCACTGCCTACTTCCTACTCCGACTACTGAAGTTACAGAGATCGGTTAGCTCACCAGATGCATGAGCTATGCTCGCTCTGCACGGTCGCAGCAAACACTAGTGTTAGGGCCCGAAAACAGTAGACTCGCTCACAGGTAATATTCTGCGTATACAGTGTGCGCCGGTCTTTGCCATCACCGTACATCGGGCTATTTAAATTCCTCAACGGTACGGCTAAAATATGTATTACCGACCGCAGTGGCCGACGCGAAATGTTCACATCGACCACCTAAGTTCGGACTGAACAGGAAAATTTCACATAGCATCCTTTATTTAGCAACGGTTTGTGCCAAAATATAACCAACGGCAACAACTTTTAGCAGTCGAGGTTCATCTAATAGAACCATAATGCCAGTCTGGTAGTACTGCGATTAGCGCACTCCAGATGCGTTTTCTTATTTTCGTTGGCTATTTTGACACCTTGCTACTATTTAGTAGAATAGTTAGACTACACTTGTTGTATTATATTAACGATTAGTCCCTCCGCTAGCTACAAATTCTTTTTATTATTCCCTAATGGCTAAAAGAAACGCAGTGACAGTTAATACCGCCCGTGCGAAGATCCGAGCCAAAAGTTGGACTGCTACGCCGATTAATTCTTCTTTCACCAAGGCACAAAGCCAGATGTTCTAGCGATAGCACATGAGTATTCATCTAGTATTCCGACAGGACGTAGGGGCGGCACAGTAAAGGGATATTCAACTAGATGGCAGAACTTTCAGATCAGTGAGAGGCAAAGGATTTCAGAGACAGTAACGACAGCGTTATTTCTTTCGACAAAATTGATAGTTCTATACGTCTAGTCATAAAGGTGAGTCAGATATACGGGCAGTCAGAAGTGGAGATATTGCATACATGCATGAGTGAAACAAACAAGCAAAAAGTTAAGTTGACATCGCAATGAGTCATAATTTTGTGAATCTACACTTCAAATATTATGGTGTGACGAAGTTCAACAAGAAAGGCATAACTGCCCCACTGAAAATCGCTTACAATATGGCAGAATTGCGGCTGCTTATTTCGACTAGACGCGCTGATATGTTTGACTAAGGCATCACTGAAAAGCTGTGCGTCTCACCATCTATACCAATTTATCTGTAGTTAGTAACCCAGCTATTTTGGGCGCATGGACCGGAAGCTAGGTTTTAGAATCCATGAACACGCACAAAATGGTTACCCAAGCGGATGGAAGCTGTGAAGACTGAATAATTTTATTCGGAAACCATACTACCACAGCAGTCGCTGGACACTTGCTAACTACCTGTCACGGTATCAATTCTGGTGAGTTGTTTACGGTTCTAATGTCTTGTAGGCCACACCAACTCCGTAGGCTATTAGAGGCTATCGGAATGTGTCTTCCGTTTGAGGTGTGTACATTAACCTAAGTGTTTTTTGCAGTATAAACAATGGTCGGCGGCAGTAGGTACACCAGGCTAATGCGTTGTAAACGCTGATGTTCACAGCTGCACGAGCCTACCACTGTTTGGGTTGGTAGGGTGAAATTGCCTCAAGCACTTTCCATCTCCGATCGTCTTGTGGTTTCAGGCTATTGACATCACGTTTCTCTAGTTTGGATTCCCTATTCCACAACTGGCCTTATAGTAGGCGTTCAGTAGTGGCAGATAAATGACTCGAAACTGCAGATCGTCGTTCTTGGTGGCCAAGTTGCCTAATGGATATTATCCACGCGCTTCTGTCCTGCTTCGTTCAGCCTAGGTCTAATTGCATGATTACTTCAAGTTCCCTTTCTTGAGCATAATGTTGAAACTTTTGGTCATTTTGTCGATGTGCATAAAGCCGCTGCTACATTATATTCGCAATTCAGCATTGCGTGGCGTTAAAGAGAATGTGGCTTTCGCATGACAGTAACAAGTCCTGTCATGTTCAATCTCTTCACATATAAATATCTCCCTGTACTCTATTCCATTAAATCGCACACACCGCTTCAGCCAATTATATTCGATTTCCATAACATTTTTGTGTTCGTGGCATACTGCGAACTATACTTCCTGACCTCGTGCACTTAGCTAGGATTTGTTTGTAAACAACTTATTACGTATGCTATTTAATTAAGATTTATGTCACCGTTTCCTTATGCATTAATCGAGTTTTTCTCTACTTTTTTTCTTTCTTTTTCTTTCTCTCTCTCAAGTGATTGGCTGTTGTTTGATATCCCCGGGGTGGCTGCGCTTGATGTGCATGTTGACAAGGTGCCTACCTGTCTAGTACCCACTACCTCGTCCATACTGGCTCCAGGATACAGTTGGTCGTTGCTGGAGGGGACGGGGTGCACGGTTCTTGTGGCCGTGTTAAGATCAACGAGTGGTTCCATGCACTCATTGTGGAGCGGACTACGGTCCAGCCACCGCCTTGTGTGCGCTTGATTCCCCAAATACAGTGTGCTTGTGTTTGCCTGTGAAGGAGTGTGGGCCGGCTCCGTTGATGAAACGTGGCTCCCATCCGCATGCCTCCCGGTCTTATTCCTTCGGGTTTACACTGGATATGTGGTGTGTGGTTGGAGCTGTGGGTGGTGCAGCGCAAGCCATCCATGGTCCCTCTGTAGGCGCAGGCGTCCTGTGGCTTGCCACAGTGACAGGCAAATCCGAAACCGGATGCCGCCAACCATGTTCAATCTCAAGTACCGCGTACTTGTCCACCCTGGCTTTGGCCTACCAGATTTTGCCATGGTCAGAGTGTGCTATAAACGTCCACGATTGCATACTGGCAACTTCGTTGATGAAAACGAGGAACCAAGTTTGTTCCGGCCTGGACACAAGGAGCTCGAAATACTACACCTTAATATAGAAGGAAATGTAACTGCAGATCCTCGCGTTCAGCAAACTTGGCGTGAAAAATATGCTGATCCAACGCAGGGTAGAATGAACGTTTCCAGAGTTTTCGAGCTTGTTAAGGTGAATATTTAAGGAAATCGAAGTAAACGGCATCCACTCTAAACCTAGCATGGAAACATTCGTCCAGTTTGCTCCGGCTAGAACCATTTCGGTAGAAATCATCATCATCATCATCATACACGTTAGCTGGAGGTGGGGGACACTTCAGCTACAGTGCCTCAATACAAAGAAAAAAAGGAGAGAAAAAAACAACTGGTGAAAGCTGGCTGAGCTACCGGTAACGGATGGGCATCGTTCCGGTAAGCTACCAGCCGGCTGCTGTGCACCCAAAAATTCGGTAGAAATGGTGTTCTAGAACCATGGGTCTCGACCATTTTGAAGGTATCACACGAGCTCCACTGTAGTAGTTACCTCTACAGAGTCTGATGACATAAAAATTTGGTATTGAAGTGGAATTTATTGCGTAAGCATAAGAAGTCAAAATTGATTTGAAACAATGTACAGAAAATGTTGCGCATATATGATAAACGCAAGTAAATACTTTGTTGGGAAATTATTCGTGTTTTATCTTCCTGTAGACCAATAACTATGGAACCGTAGTCAGTCGTATTTTGCTGACTAATTAGGATTCACATTACTTTCATTTTCGTACATTGCATTATTATTTGTTTTCTTACAAGAAAATAAAAGTTTGCTTCCATTCAAACTAATGAAATTTGAACAGCGAGCATTCGATGGCGTAACGTGATAAGGAACTAAATTTAACTTGATAATACTTATCATACTTTAAAGACATTGGTATTTGATTCACGAAATTCAACAGTCCGACTTTTCGATATAACAAGACAAAATGTAACCTATCTGTGCCCATAGATATAATCGCTAATAAACCTTGAAAATTAGCTGTGAAGGAACATGGGCTTCATTAACTCAAATTGTCATGTACATTTTATTTCGTCTTTCATGTAAATATTACAGACCACTTGCCTAAAAATGTAGTGTCCTGTATGCGTTGCTCAAATAATCAATCCTTAGCGTTGCATGTCCTACGTTCTTGCTCTTAAAGACCTCGTGCCTATTATTGCAATTGCAGTGATTGAGTTGATCAAGGTATTGATTCTTAGCGGTAAAACCCTAACCTACATCTGTTTCTTCTGCCAACGGAGCAAGTTTCACAATCCACAATACCAGTGACCACCATATGTTTCATGGTAAGTCAATTATCGTAAGACCTAAATATGTCGTTCACAGCTGATGTTCCAATTTTCCGACAGAATTGTACGATAAACAATGAAAGGCGGATAAGTATAAATAATAACATTCTTCTTATGCGAAGAATGCATCTCAACGAACATGCATGCGAAATATTTTAGCTTGATTTCTGTCATCATTATTGTTGCATTCGCTGTTTTGCAGGCGGATAGCTTTTACAGTGACTGCTGTGAGTTCACTGGTGTAGCGAACTCCTATCACCACATGTCTTTGTATTACGGACTAATCAATGCTTCTAACGACTTAAGAATTTTCAGATTTGATTATAATAGTAGAAGTGTTTAGGTCTCGCAAATGGTTGGATGCAGGTTAGTAAGGTAAACGGTCAGCTTGTTGGTTATTCTCCTACGTGCCTTCTGTGCATTTCAGCTGAGGACAAAACGCTTATCAACGTATCTCTGACGAATTGCAGCCAGGCGTCATGCGTCGCTGATGGAGGTACATTTGCGACATTTGAGCTCACCTTCCAAGCAAGTAAGCATGTGTAGATACTATGAACACTTAAGCAACATATTTAAATTTTGCCATTAATGTTCCCAGTAGGATAATTACTTCCTTTATCTATTTTTAAGAAATGTGCATTTGTCTTGCCATGCAACTTAACCCTGTTTTATTGTCTTTAACAAGTATACTTTTGCTGAGCTTCGTCCAATTTTGATGTGTCATAATAGACGAAAGCGAAACAACGCCGTGCCCGGATAGACACTTTACATCGTGAGGTTTAGGTATATGAGTCTCAATGTTGCCCTTGTCTTTGGAGAAACACGCTTTGTGTTCGATGAGCTAAGGACAAGACATCCTCTCACTGCACTTTTTGTTCTGTTTTTATAGAAAGAAGGGTTCGTTCCGGGAAGGTGAAACTTTGCCTGATCGACTCACAGTCAAAGATATGCTTACGAGAACTTGCAGATATAAAAGATATCTGTGACTACATAAAACAAGGATGTCCACTGGAACAAGGTGGTGTATACACGTATAAAAAGACTGTGTTTACACCCGATGTTTCGGTATGTTTACAATTTTCGCTGCATGTTGTTTACGGTTATTTTTTGATGGCTGCGGGTATAACTCTATGGTTTACCTAACGTTATTAATTTTGTGGCAGTTACAGTACAGAAGCAGTAAATTACTTTCTACTAATTTTAGATGAAAGGGGAAGAAACTTACCAGCTTTATGACGAAGAATGCAATGTGATTGCGTGCGTGCGGTTCGGAGGGGAGGTTCGATCAAAGAATACGAACATACCGCCACAACTGTTTACTGATGACAGCTATCCATGTGGAGGCAAATGACAAGGCACTCACACTTAGTTAACCTACGCCATTATGCTTGCTTTGAGTAAACCTAACTTATTGCATAATTTGCAATGTTTTAATTAATACATTACTATTTAGCGCTTTCTGTTGACATGGTTATAAAAAGCCCGGGTCGTTTACTTATTTGAATACGGGAGATAACGTACGCGGATGCATGTCAAACAACTACGAAACTAGTTGGATCATTGTGAAAGAGCTGTGTTTAACGCCAGTTTTCGCATACTTTAGGTTCATTTAGATATATATAATTCCCGGAATCAGTCGCTTACACCGGCAGCCATTCTTTAGACGAATAAACTGTTATGTAAAATCATTTTGCCTTCCCTGATTTGATAGAATCATCACTTAGAAGTGAATGTCTGTACAGAAAGATAAAAGTAGGTTTAGATGGTTTTTATATGGTGGCTATTTAAAGAGTTGTCTTTATCAGGAGCCAGGATAGAGATTTCGGAAGACAGGTGGAGTTGCACGGAAACATTGATACGTACAGCGAAAGCTTATTTGTTGCCTAACGATGATATAGAGTCAACGTGGCTGACGCCCGCTAAGCCATAGCAAATGTAGAGCACAAAGTATAGTCGCGCTTAGCAACCGAAACGAGCGCCAAGCAAATTGGCGACGGCCAACTCAAGCAAGCAAAGTAAACAGTGGGGACATTTGGTGCGTTGCATAGTGAGAATCGTCAAGGAAAGCGACTTTGAGTCGGTCAACTTTGCTCCTTTCTATTTTGCCAATAGAGACAATGGTAAAGGTCTTGTCATCTTTGTATACGACACGGCATACGCCTGCATAAGTAGGTTGGAGTGGCCTGCCCACGCTCTCCGAGCGAACAAACGGATGTGTGCAAGTAGTTGAGCATTCGTCTAAGTTTGTACGCAAGCACTGGGCTCTGGATTGCACAGGCAGAATTTGTCACGTATGACTGGGTAGGCGAGCTGCGTAGTTGGTATAGTCAAATTTTCTTGGTGCTTTTGGTGAGAAGTTGACTAGGTAATTGTTGTGTACATCCAAGACTAGTGAATATGCGGTGGCACGCAAATCCACTTTAATCGTGTTCCTGACTCTTCTCAGAAGGAGGGAACGTGCTTCGTGGCAGGATGTGCTGCATTGGACACATTGTGCTGTTCTGAGTTGCAGCCTGGATATTGGTTCCATCCCGTTAGCTGCGGGGTGGCATGCGGTAGTACGGTTGTGCTGACAATGAAGTAGGCAGACAGTATGATGTAGGCTCTGTCAGAGTGTGATTTTCCTTCGGTGATAACTACGCTTGGATAATAATGTGAAGCTATCCAGCATTCGAAATAAAACTCGCGCAACTGTTCCAAATGAGCAGTTAGCTATTAGGATCACTTTTGTCCAACGGGTGAATCAGTCGAATTAGGTAAGTAAGTACATGCAGCCTTTGCATAGTGGTAAAGCTTCAACCAAGTCGACCAGGGCTACAACAAAATGAGAGTCAGGAGACGCCGAGTGGGCTTCCGGTGGCTCTGTGAACCTTGGCGAACCGACGCGTTGAGCATGTGCGACAACAAATGCGGACGTTGCGTTTGGCTTTCAATCCACTCCATGCGTTTGGTTACTAGCTTCTGCGAATCACGTATGCCGAGATGAGACAGGTTGTGTAATGGGTGAAAGTCTAGTCGGCGCCTTGTCGTAAGGACTACGAGGCGTGGAGACGTTCGTGTGATACCTCAAGCAATGGCCTCCGCAAATGACACGAGAACTTTGTGAATTTTAAAGCTGTGCTCTATCGAAGTTGTCTACGTTGGGATTTGCTTGTTGTAACGCAGACATGGCTGCGAGGTTAGTGGTCGTGCCAGGTGATAATCTGACCAGCTGAACGCGTGAAAAAGTGTCCGCGGCGGTGCTGCAGGGCAATTCAGCAAGTTGCAGATGCTTTGAGAAGAAACCTGGGAGTAGCTATCCATAAGCGATGATTTTTCGAATAACTATACCAACGACATTGTCTGATGCCTCAGCCGTCAAGGAAAGGGGACCTAGTGGGTCCGGGGGCAAGAGAAGCACTATGTGGTGGATAGCGGGTTTGAGCTCCTCGAAAGCCAATTTGGGCTTGCCTAAAAAGAGAAAAGAGCTGTGATTACTGCGAAGAACGTCGGTATTTGTTTTTTAGTGCGTGCGCAGTATAAGCTAAATCCTCGATAATAGTTAACCAGGCCAATGAATTCGTGCAGCTGTTTAAAGGAACAAAGAATGGGGTGGTTCTTCATTGCCTGGATTGTGCTTGGATCGATTCAACGCCAGAGGCAGATATTCTGTAGCCAAGCAAGTCTATGAAGCGTTGGCCAAGCTCCCGTTGATTAGGGTTCACGACAACCCCTTGTTGCGTCAAACATCGAGTTTATGAATATGTCCATGGTCGGAAGAAGGGCTGGCGATTAGTAGGTCGGCCATGTAAGGATAAACACTTTCGTGTCATAGCGTAAAGACGTGACTAAATGATGAAATGTTTGTGCAGCGTTTCTGCGGCCGACAGGTCTTTCCATCTACTCCAAAATGCCAAATATTGTGATATATACCGTTTTACCACTATTGTCTCGCGCCCCAGATATTTGGTGGTAGGTGCCGATAAGGTCGACTTTGCTAAAGATCGAGATGCAAGCTAGAACTAAAATTAAGTCATGAAAGTGAAGACTGGGGCATTTTTCCGGAACGGCGTCTATGTTAAACGCCCTGTAGTCACCACCGGGACTCCAGTCACCGGGTTTCTTCCGCACCACACATAATGGTGATGCCCATGGACATTTGCAAGTGTAGAATATTCCTATTTGATGTATTTGCTCGAATTCCGCCTTAGCAGCTTTGCGATTTTCCGTGGCTAGTCCGCGAGTGAGGGCCGAAACCGGTGGAACCTTAGTGGACATTTGCTGCCTGGTGGTTGACGTCACAGGAAATGTCATACGAAAAGCAAACGAAGTTGTGATGGTTGTTGTAAGGGTCTATACAAGGCTGTGTCGCTTCAGGTTGTGCAGGAATGGGCGTACTAGCAGCCACTTTGGTGCTGGTCTCGATAACAATAAGCTGTGTCCGAGAGTGGATAAAATTGTTCTTTTTAGGTTCGACCATAAGGTCAAACTGTAGAAGCAAATCTATGCCTATGATATCAATCGGCCCGGCCGCTGCTATGAACAACTAGCGAAACGTCCACCGAAAAGCAATATTTAGCGTCAGCAACCTTTCGCCGAAGATCGCAATTTGTGTGCCGTTAGCGGCGCGTAGTCTGCTCGACAAATGTTCTAGGACCTCATCTGAGCTTTGGAATATAACGCTAACTACGGCACCGGTGTAGACTATGCACTCGGTGCGGGAAGTTGTGCCCCTAACACGGATGAGGCGACATGGTTTTTGGCTGCTCTTGTCCGTGGACATTAGGGTCGGCCGAGAAGTTTTCCTGCTTCTCGGTAATGCTGCAGGATTTGCCACACGAGCTGCGGTACCAAAGCTTTAGTGGCATTAAAACCAAGTCTGCCTGTCGCTAGACATGGAGCGTTTTGATGGCGAGTTTGATCAAAAGTGACAGCGTAGACACTTGGTGAGCTGTTGCACAAAGCGACTAAGTGTCACAATGTGTTCGCAAAGCTTCTACAGTTGACTGTAAGCCAGTGATGGAAGTACTTTGAGACGCGACGGCATTAACATTGCTGACGTCGGTTTATGGCTGGAATCATTCAGTGAGTTTGTCTGCTAAATCGGCTAAATGGGTGAGCGAAACGGAGGTTTAGAAAGCGAGAATAGCTTGCGTATTTTCCACTAGCCACGGCAAATATAGCGGCTTTTGATCTGAGACTTGATGATATCCCGAAGATCATTGTTATCAGCTTAAGAAGATAGCAAATAAGCTTGTCATATTTAGCTCAGACGGGAGTGCTTCCGTTGGCAAAATTCTCCCTTTATTTGGGCACACACAAAAGGAGATCCATGTCCCAAAATGGTAAGGCAGAAAGAGGTACAAAGCTAACGAAAGACTCTGACTTATGATCTATCTAAGGCAGGGTTTACAAGATGGATATAAAGAAATGCTGTCACAAGAAAAATAAACCGGAGAATATGAAGAAATAAAACGAACAGGCTCACCGGAGAAAAGTTCGAATTATCCGGCGTCGAGGTTCTTCCGAAACCAGTCACCAATTTAGCGAGTTACGTTCAGGGAGAG